GTCATCAGTTTTCACAAGGGAAAACAGTATGGATGTTCTTTAGAAAGTTAAAAATAGAACTGCTAGATGATCCAGCAATGCCAATTCTGAGTATATATCCAGAAGAAATCAATATGTTGAAGAGATTTCTGCAGCATTATCCCCAGTAGCCAAGTTATGAACTCAACCTATGTTCATCTATAGATTAATACAGAAAGGAATATAGTATATGTGTACAGTAAAATCCTATTCAGCCTTCGAGAAATTCTGTCATCATGACGACATGGATGGACCTTAAGGACATTATGCTAAGTGAAATAGCCCAGGCACAGAGAGACCAACTGCAAGATCTCACTTGCATGTGAAATCTTAAAAAAGTAAAACTCACAGATACAAAGAATAGGAATGGTGGTCAGGGACCTGGTGAGTTGAGGGAAGCAGAGAAGTCTCTGAAAGGTACTGTTTTTCTGTTAGGATGAGTAAGTTCTGGAGATCTATTGTACAACATGGTGACTAGTAAATAATAATGTTTACTTGACAAATACTAAGTGATTCCATCTTAAACATTCTTACCACAAAGTATATGAAGCGATGAATATATTAATTTGATTTAATAATTTCACAGTGTGTACACATATCAAAACGTCACATACACCATAATTATGCAACTTTTTATTTGTCAGTTATGCAAGTTATATTTAAATCTATAATCAAAATGGAATCTGATCAAGTTTCTAGATATCATTACCAGTCTGTAGGACATAAAGGGCTAGAGGAACGTAAGGGCATACCTTGACTATAGTCGCCAAATCTGGAGTTTGGCTAATTCTCTAAGAGGGATGCCTCAATCTAGTCACCAAATAAATGGCAAGGAAAATTTAAAAAGGAGCCATAGAGTAAGAGACAAGATATACCAACTGAATGAACACATGGAGATTTTATTGGAGTCCTGACTTCAACTATAAAAACAAATAATTGGCCAATTGGAGAAGTTTGAACCCAGAGGAGAAGGGAAATTGTTGTCATTATGGTTTTTTTGGGCTTTATTTGCATTTTTTATTTTGAGATCGTTTTATAAACGTGCCATTCTAAGAAGTAATACAGAGAACTCAAGTATCCTTTCCCCAGTTCCCCCCAATTGTGACATCTTGCAAAGCCATAGAAAGTATCGCAACAAGGACATAATACAGATTAGAAACAGAGATCTCTCCAGTGGTCCTTTTGCAGCTATATCCACTTCCTGGCCACAACCCCATCTCAACCCCTGCTAACCACTGATCTCTCTCCATGTCTATAATTTTCACATTTGAGAACGTTATATACATGGAGTCATATGCTATGTTACTTTGGGATTCAACTTTTTCACTCAGCATAATTCTTCAGAGATTTGTTCAAGTTGTTAAGTAAATCACTTAATTCTTTTTTTATAGTAAAATTGTATTTCTTGTCTTTTTAAAAAAAGAGTCTTTAACTTTTTTTTTTTTTTTGAGTCAGTCTCACTCTGTCACCCAGGCTAGAGTGCAGTGGCATGCTCATGGCCACCACAGCCTCGACCTGCTGGGCTCAGGCAATCCTTCTGCCTCATCCTTCCAAGTAACTGAAACTACAGGCGGGTGCCCCCACGCCCAGCTAATTTTTTGATTTATTATAGCCAGAAGGACTTGTCAAGTTGCCTAGGCTGGTCTCTAATCCACTGGCTCAGGCAATCCTCTCGCCTCCACCCCCCAGAGTGCTGGGATTACAGGCCTGAGCCCGGCAAGTCTTTAACTCTTAAAGACAACTGCAGAATTTTCGGGTGAAATTATGTCTGGGATTTGCTTTAAAATAATCTGAGGTGGGGGAGTATAAATGGGCCATGATTGTTTGCGTTAGTAACTGAAGTTAGTCGGTGGGTACCTGTGGTTCTTGCTACTTTTTGGGTGTTTGAAGTTTGGGGTTATAAAACATTAAAAGTGTAGCAGAATGAGCCTTTTAGAGAAGGAGCTAACCACAAGGACTAAAAGCAGAATCAGTAAATAAGTAAAGACCAGAGGTAGGGAAGTGTGCATTATAAGTGTGTCTTTATAAGCTTTTCTATACAATTTAGTTTGTCGTCATGTTCATGAATTATTTTTGAATAATTTTAAAGCTCTTTGAAAACAATTTAAATGTCTTAATTGTGCAAATAAGACAGAAGGTAAACATTTACTGTTACATGACCTCTCTCACTGTGTGAGAATTATTGATGATTTTAGAGTAAATAAGATTGCTTTAGGGGTAGTGTTTTTGGCTCTCTTTCATCTGCCTCAAGTCTTAAATCACCCCCCATTTCTGGGCCAAATGGCTTTCCCGAGGCCTCTAAATGTGTATAGCTTCTTTTGTTTGTTACACTTTTGTACTGTGGTAAGTTCAAATTTTGATAAATTTCTGGCCTTTGCTGATGAAATCTTTTCATGGCTAAGATCAGCACTGCTAGATATATTTTCCTCAGGTGCTTTAATTACTGTTTTCGGAGGGTAGTGATGTACATTTTTTGGCCTGTGACCATGAGAAAACAGGATTTTAGTCTTTCAGTCATGTTTCTGTGATTGTTTTTCTTTGACAGTCATTCATTCATTCATATTTGTAGAGTACCTACTATATGCCAGACACTATTATAAGTACAGAGGACATCTTGTACAAACAAAGATTTCCAACATCAAGCTAAAGCTTTTTTCCCCCCTTACCTGTAAATCAGAAACTATTCTAGAGGCTATAACCTAGTAACATTGCCTATAGTATATTAATTGACTGTGCCCCACAGTAATACTAATAGTGTAGTTTGATTTTAAAAAATTTAAAATGTGTGAGGTCATGGGTATGTTAATTAGCTTGATTTAGCCATTCTACTGCATGTGTGTAGAGAGAGCAAAACAACATGTAGTACACCATAAATACATGACTTTTATTTGCCAGCTTAAAAAATGTATACATATTTTTCCTCATATCAATTCTAAAAGTAACAGGAAGATGTTTAAGACAACCAGAAGAACTAAGACGTAGCTCTTAACCATGGGTCAAACCCTTGTTAGCCATGTCACATGTTAACTCATTTAATACTCCCCACAGCTTGATGTGGTGTGCTATTGTGATTCCTATTTTCAGGGGAGGGGAATGAGGTCCAGAGAGTTGAAGTAACTTGCCTAAGATTTATAAAGCAATTAAGTGGTAGAGTCAGGATTTAAACACAAAGTATCTGGCTCCAGAGGCTAAATGTTTCTCTTTTGCAATTTCTCTATGCACCCCAAGTTAATATTTTTCTTTTCTCTTGGCTTCCACATCCATTGGCCAAGCCAGCATTTCCCCAACTGGTCCATGGAATGTCAACAGATGTTCCATGAAAAAAAAACTCAATGGAAAAATATTTAACCCAGCATTTTCCTAATGTGTATAGGGATTATTTATACTGAGGACTTCTCAGAGAATTTAATGTTGAATGTATATTGTAAATCACCAAGAGGAACATTCATCTTGTACAGCTCTAAAATTATTTTTCTGTGGAATGTTTTTGTTTTGTTTTTACTGGGTATCTATAGATATCTCAAGGAACACATAACTCTGTGCCATTTCTGTACTCTTGAATCTCACCGTTAGATTCACCTAAATCTTCTGTGCTGTCCCTCAAACGAGCCTTCTTAACTGTAAGACCAAATGTTGATGCTCCTCCCAAGTCACCATGAAGTGAGCCCACGTTGATTTCATTTGATTCATTGCCGACAAGGGCTCTGCCTGCTCTGCTAGCCGCTTCTGCCACTCCTGCTTGATTCCACCGGCCATGCGCCACTAGGGCGCACAGCCCTTCACCTTTGCCACACTTCCTTCCTTGACCTTGTGTATGTGTCTCTCCTTTTTCTTTGAAGAGCCCTTCTGCCCCATCCCCCATAACTGGCCAGAATGATTCTCGCTTGTATGAGGTTTGACTTAGAGACACTACATTTTCTGTGGAGCCTGTCTTGAACACCTCCCTCAGGCCAGGTACTCATCTCAATCCACATTGTCTGTCACGGTAGGGATGTATTATATTATAACCTTTAGAACAGAGGCTTTTTAAAGACCACATCCTGTTTGTTTTTAGAATCCATACCTAACAAGTGATTACCTAGCACATAGCAGTTTCTCAATAAATGTTTGAATGTATTCCGCTTTTGGGAAGCATTAATTATTAATATGTTTTGCATTGACCTAAAGTCTGGTTCTTCCAGCATTACTTACTACATTGAGTAGATTTCATTCCTTTTGCTCATAACAATCTTTCTTTCTTGTGTTTCAGTACAATGAATTTCCCTGAAGTCTTTTCTATGTGAAACTTCTTTTTAAAACATAAAGCATTATTTCTTGGTTGCTAACGTGGCATCAGAATTGAATGTAATACTACACCCTGCATATTATTAAAGCAGCTTTTAATTTTTGTGGAAGCCTACATGTTTTCCATCAATTATTGCCAGACTTGTCCCCTCCTTTTACTTGTGCTTATTAAAATCCATCTTGTTTTGACATATCCATTTTCATCTTGATTAATTCATCTGTTGTTTGAATCAAGTCAGCTGGTTTTGTGACTGTTTCTTCACCCAGACCTAGGATCAGAAAGCAGTCTTCCATAGCATTGCAATAGCTAACTCATGCTAGGTTATTCCTGAGTCATCTTATCTACATCCCACTTATAAATATCTTTTGTCTTAGGTCTGCACAGTTCTGCAGCATCTAATCTATTTTTCACTTATCCAGCTCATGTTTTGATGAGTGCTGTTTTGAAGTACAGAAAGCTACTGCACAATGTATAAATTCACTTCTGCTTCATAGTTTGACTGCGTGTAAGTTACCTAGCCCCCATCCCAGACTCAGATGCCAACAATTTTAAATGGAATCGCTGATCTTCAGTTTTTCTATAAAAATTATCTTTTAAATAAAGTACTGTGTGAATGATAGAGATGTTATAGAAGTTAAAGGGTCAAAATTATACATGTACTCTTTCTCAATTGCAGTGTTTTAATGCATTTTCTCAGGTTTTAAAAAGTTGCAGAAATAAGAAAGGAAAGAGAAAGAAAAGCGTTGAGAAATCTTTATATGGAGAAAGAGACATTGCTTCTAAGAAGCCCCTGCTAAGTCCTATTCCTGAGCTGCCTGAGGTCTCTGAGATGACACCTTCAGTTCCAAGCATCCGAAGGATGTGTTCAGGTATCCTATCAGTTCTATTTTATCCCTCTTTTCTTTCTCTTTGTAGCTATTTCACTCTTTTTCTTTCTTTTTCCCCATTCAGTATATAAAGAGTACATAGATAAAAAGAGCAATTTCCTCATAATACCATGAGAATTTTAAGCGAAGGAAGCAGTAGCTTGTAACTTTTAGGTAGCTTAGATCCTTTTCAGGTTCTAAAGGAAGCTCCAGATCCTCTCCCCAGAGAAAGTCAAGCACAAGATTGTGCATATAGTTTCAGGGGAAATAATTAAAGCACTTTGATCAGAGAAATTTATCTGGTGGTGTGGTCCATCATTAAAAGTGAACAAGAGCTGAACGTGGTGTGCACCTGTATGTAGTCTAGCTACTTGGGAGGCTGAGGCACAAGGAGCATTTGAACTCAGGAAATCAAGGCCAGCTTGGGCAACATAGTAAGACCTGGTCTCTAAAAAAGAAAAACAAAACAAAACAAAAAACGAATGAGTCAATGGCTCAATAATAGATATATCGTATATGAGTTAAGGACAAAAATTTTAAAAATAAACTTGCCCCATGACTTCATTAAATATCTAAAAATAATGTTTATAATTTGAGCTTGATTACCCTTCAAGCTTTGTTTATGAGCAAAGATATTTTTTCTTTTCTTTTCTTTTCTTTTGAATCAGTGTCTGATTTTGTCACCAAGCTAGAGTACAACGGCATGATTATAGCTCACCGCAGCCACAGTCTCCTGGGCTCAGGCAGTCCTTCTGCCTCAGCCTCCCGAGTAGCTGGTACTGTAGGTGCATGCCACCACTCTTGGCTCATTTTAAAATTTTTTTGTAGAGATGAGGTCTTGCTCTGTTGCCCAGGCTGGTAGTATTCAGATTTTAAATGGACTGAATCACGCTGGCAATAAGGATGTATGTCCATCTGGTGTGTTGATTTGTATGGAATCATTTAAAAAATTGCTGCCTCTGTCAACCATCACATATGTATAGCCTGCCTTCTATATGTCAATGTTAGGATAAGGTAAGAGTGTAAATAAATAGCCACCCTACAGTTGCACACACACCAGCTCACACTCTTCTCCTGCCACACCATTTCATGGAGTATCCTGGGTCGGGATCTGCCACCCCATCTTTTTTTAATCTGGCTTAGCGTTGCTCATCTCCCAGGTGTTCTCTTTCCTGGACATGTCTTTGTTTGCAATATACCCTTGTCATCTGGTTTTAGGAGGATATCTTCTCCGTGTTCCCCCTCCCCAATACTGCAGTCTCCCTGAGAGTGGAAACTAAGTCTTATTTTCATTGTGTTCCTAGTTCCTAACAGGGATTTTCCAGTAAACTATTTAAACAATGACTGTTAGTATAATTTTCCATCTTACATCCTATTGGAGACTCTATTTTTAAAAACACCTGAAGCATTGGTTACCTATCGCCAGTGGTATCACCTGCTACATGGGTTAAAGCAATTCATTCCTTCCTTCCTTTCTCTTGATCTTTCCTTTTGCCCTCCTCTTCTTTACCTTTCTTCTCCAGTATGTTGAATTTTATGAAAAATACATAAATATAAATTTTTAAAGATGTATGAAGACTTGACATGCTGGTTGGCATTGAGTGGACCCTGTCCTGTATTAATCTCTAGCTTTACGTGACATGATTTTAAGTACCTTAATCATGGATTTATTTTCAAATTGAAACATTGTTTTTTTAGACTTTTGACTCAGGAAATCATATATCTTTCCGTTTTTATTTTGTTTAAAACACTTTTTATATCCATCTAATTGGCCACTTAAAAACATTCTTATCTGAGATAGCAAGACAGATGGCATCTAATAGTACTGAGACTTCGAGCACACAGAGCCCAAATTCGTTTAAGCTGTTTTACTTGTCAATCTTAAAAACCTTAATGGTTTTTTTTTTTCATCTATGATGTGCCAGAAACACATGAAAGGCTACCCATGGCATAATCTTCGCGGAAGATGAAGTGTGGTCAAAGATAGGGGAATAAGGAGTAAATCTTTAGAATACTGAAACAAGCATGCCTCTGCTTGAGAGAGCACTGTACACTTTATAGCAGTTTCTAACAGGGGGCAAGACCTGAGTGTCTTCAGGCATGCCCTTTGAACTACTAAGTCCTGAAATATCCCAGAATTCCAAATTTTCTCTCTACTATTTCAGGAGATACATTGATAGAAAAGTTTCAGAAGCATAATATTTCGCCTGCTGCATAATTCATTTTGGAGAATTGTGGCTGCCTTGTGCTACCGGACCTTGTAGTGTTGGAAGTCGGTTAGGGTGGAGGAAGCAATTTAAGATGCTGTTCTTGTTTTCATGGTCTGAGATTATGTGCTTATTAATTCAGGCACTGAGGACGTATTTTCTTAACCTGTGGATTAGGGAGGAAGAACTAAAAGAGGAGGACGATGACAGATGGGTACAAGTCCAGTGTAACATTTGTGGGTCTTGAGATTTTGAAAGCTTAAAACACAATAGAGCACTTGTTTATTTAATAAATGTAAAGTTTATTTCCATTGTTACTTTTTAATTATATTTAAACTTATTTACACGCCTATAGATGATTTCAGCTCAAATGGCAAACTTGAAGAAATGAAGACTCCTAAAAATCCTATTAAGAGAAAGAATCTTTTTCCTCAGAACCCAGCAAATGTGCATATGAATCAAGGCTTTAATAAATATGTGTCTGAATTCTGCCACTCTTACATAAAAAGTTCCTTATCACTTGGTAAAGCAGCTTCTGCTAAAGATCCAAATACAAATATGGTGGGCATGCATGAAAATGAAAATACTCCTTTAAAAGCAGAAATTAAGTCAGAAAGTGAAAATGAACCTAAAACCGAGACTGACAGTGCTTCTGTGATTGAAGAACACATTGTGTCAGATCATCCAAAATCTGAATTGATCCTGCAGGGTCAAGAATTATCTCCTGGCGGTCAAAATGCAGACAATCTTTGTGAAATCTTTACAATTTCAAGTGCTGTAAACAGAAAGAGTAAAAAACAAGATGACTTCTTCGTAGCTGCAGAGGGAAAACTGCAGTGCAACCTTTTAATAATGTCTGACGCTCAAAAGGAATGTAATAGTTCAGAAGATGTCTTCATGGAAAATATAAAAGAATCTAAATGCCAAAGTGAGGATTTGGGAAGAAAATCTGCAGAAAGTAGCAATGTTATGAGTTGCAGAGAAAAGAAACGTAGAAGACGCTCTATGTGTTATTCTGATGATCAACGTTTACATTTGGAAGAAAATGGAGATCACAAACCTTCCTACAGTGTGGGCAGCTCTGTAGAAATTAACTTAGAAAATTCCGAACTGCATAAAGATTTATCTGATGCCATAGAGCAAACTTTTCAGAGAACAAATAGTGAAACCAAAGTGCGACGTAGCACCAGGCTACAGAAAGATTTGGAGAACAATGGTCTTGTATGGATTTCGCTTCCATTTCCTTCCACTTACCAAAAAACCAAAAGGAGAACAATATGTACATCTGACAGCAGAGGATTTGAAAGTATGTCTCCTAGAAATGAAACTGTGCCCTCCACACAAAGACTGGGTATGGTGCCTCCCGTCTCAGGTAGAGAAAACAACCAGAGCCTGGCTGCTGATTCTTCTAATGTACCTGGTAGGAGGAGGGAGAGCTTTTGTGTTTCTACACTTGCAAATGCTAAAACTACTACCCAGTCCAAACACTACAGAAGAAGATCCTTTCTCAAGGAGAAGGGAGGAAGCTCTCTAACTGGCTTGGAAAGGAATGGACATAGCTGAGAAATAGAGCAGAATTGACATTTCCTGCAGAGCATTTGGCGAGAGAGAAGTAACCACCTATGCTGTAAAGATTCGTCTAGTTCCCATCCTCTATTCAGCTTCAGTCTTTTAAAAGTTCCAAATAAATAAAACCATTCGAGTTCATGAAACTGCTTTTAAGTAGAAATTAGTGACTTCCGTCGTCATTCGAAAAGAAAACATTCTATTAAAATACGTTCTTCTCCCCCCAGAGGGTCAGTGCTTTATTACTACTTTGCTACAAGGATTGTTTTTAAACCTAACAACGTATCTCTGGATTTTTAGAGACCTTTTTTAAAGTACATATATCTTTAAGTACATATTTACCACTGAGGGTTTAGACTTTCTTGTAAAAAGCATCTGTTACGATTGACTGATTTTTGTCTGGACAAGATGTGTTTTGTGTTTGTGTTGTTGTTTTTTTTTTACAAGACAAATTGATAGAATTAGTGGAACTTTATGAAAATCGAAGATAATATAAACTTGAAGATTTACAGTGGGGGGAGGTGTGTGGTTTTTTTTTATACAGAAACGTTAAAAATTTTAACATCGAAAAAAATTGAAATTACAAAAGTTGCTTTTCTTTTGGTTAAATGTAGGAGAAGCTTTGATGATTTGGTTTAACTGTCTCAGGTGAAGTTTTTACTATTAATAGTTAAAAATGAAATCCTAAAACAAATACTAGAAAATTACTTCAATGACCAGATTTTTATGTATTCATCATTATAAATGAATATGTAATTTGGAAATAACTGAAACCATTCTTTCCTTCAAAAAGGATGCCTATATGCTTTGTTGGGTATGTGTGGGAGGATTGATTTTTGGTGAAAATATAGCAGTTAAAGACTGGACTCCTGGATTATTCTAATTAGTCATAGGTAATTTGGTATTTAATTCATGTTTTCCTTGAAAACATTTTTGAAAACCAGAAACTCTTTTGAAGGGGCACTAGAAAATTAGTTTACTAACGTAAAGCATGGTAGGTCACTAATTTCTTTTTTTAACACAGCATTTTCTCACAGTTCTAACTTTATTTTGTAGTATCTGGTATTATCACTTGTCTCGGTTTTCCTAGTTAAGTTTTTGCAATATCTCCAATGACTATTTCTGTGATAGCAGTTTGAAGATCTAAATTGCTATATATATGGAATTTGTGAAAGCATATAAATCAATATATGATTAAACAATTGTCTTTGAAATCCTTTAAATCATTAAACTCTCCCTCTCCATGATAGCAGAAACATGTTAACAAATAGAGCTCTCTATAAATAACACAACAGGGAAGAAAGCCCCCCGCTGAGCGGCCATTTCCCCCTCCTTAGATAGAGACTATTTGTTACCTTCTCGGCACCGGCAGGTCTGGAACTCCTGCTGCTAGGACTAATGTATTTTACATTAACGCTCAGAGTGATCCCCAATTTCTTCTGCTCAACAGTAGATTGCTTTAAAAATTCTTTTATCGTTGCATGTAAATTCTTTATAGACTTTTCCCCTCCTATAGTTTGGTGTGGTTGGCAAATCAGTACCGCTGAAAACAAAGCAAAAAACGAATTAGCTTTTTGTGAAGTTTTTAGTTCTGTAATTTAAAAATAAAACTTTCAGAAACGTAGGACAAGAGGATTTTTAACTTTTTTTGCATTTCTCCTTTGTTTAATATAAAGACTAAAAGCTATTGATTGTTACTTCCTTGCTATTGTACGATGATAATATCTCAATTCTATCTGATTTTTAAAAATTTCTCAAAAAGTGCTAAAGAGAATGAGGGAAACATTTTGATCTGTGATTTTTCAGATGGTATTTCAATGTAAAATTGTACTCACTTTCTAGTGTTTATATTCATTTAAAATATAAACACTTTGCAAGTTCTGTTTCAAAATGCTTCATTATAGGTATTTTGTTAGTATTTGTAAATGACAAATGGACAGTTTTCCTAAAAAGAACAGATCTGAAAAAAAGCAATTTAGAGGCATGTTTAGGGTCTCATTTATATGAGATTTGTGAAAAGTGAATAATTTCTATATTTGATCATGCTTGCTTGTTTTTTAAATGTTTATTTTCATTAATGGTTAATTCAAAAACACTCGGCAAATGGTTCAATTTTTTTTAAAAGTTTTCCTTCTCATCTTTTTTACTGCTGTAACTACCCTTGATATTCTTACATTGTTTCTGTTCCTGTAGATTCTTGTTTGTTCCAGAAGATGGCAGCATGACATCTGAAGTATTTCCTTCTCTGTGCTGTTGCCTATGTTTCCCTCTATTTTTTACTCGTTTTTATTACAAAAATAATGTGTCTGCCGGAAAAAAAAAGCCAGAACTGTACAGAATTAAAAAGAAATGACAACTGTCTTCCGTTCCCCACACAAGCACCATCCAGCTTCACCCTGCCCTCTGATTTGTGTATAAACACTGTTCCTGTGTAAACATGAGTGTGCAGTTGTGTTCTAATGGGGTCGCTGTATGTATTATCCTGCAACTTGATTTTTTTAAGTTCAAATACCATGAATATCCTCAGTCTTATGATGGACAGCCCTAGTACTACTTGTTGTTTTTTGTTTTTGTGTGTGTGTTGGAGTCTCACTATGTCACCCAGGCTGGAGTGTGGTGGCACATTAACAGTCACCCCAGCGTCAACCTGCTGGGCTCCGGTGACCTTCCCCCTCAGCCTTCCAAGGAGCAGGAACTACAGGCGTGCGCTACCATGCCCGGCTAATTCTTTTTATTTATCGTAGAGACAAGGTCTCGCCAAGTTGCCCGGACTGGTCTCGAATGCCTGGGCTCAGGCAATCCTCTTGCCTTGGCCTCCCAAACTGCTGGGATTGCTTGTCGTTTTTAAGGCCTGCATAGGAGTCCATACTTTGGGTCTCTAATGAAGGTAGCCATCCCCTTACTGATGTGAGTTGTCTCCTGCTCTTGCTCTTGGAAAGGATAGCAATATATATTATAGCACATAAAAAGCTATGCTGGGCCTGTTGAACACACCATAGGATAAATTCCTTGAAATTAAAAGAAGATGGTTCTCTTCTGTAGATCTGACTGGCAAACGCCCTTATAAGCATCTTAGCATCCTTGCCATCTTTCCATCTCATTTTCTGCCTTGCTACTTAATGTCATTTTGCTTCCATCTTCTCTCACGACCCCCACTTCCATGTAAGCTACAGAATTGAGGGTGAACCTTGGACCCAGCATAGCAGGGATGAATGATTTAATAATAAAGCCAGGCCCATGCTTTCACTGAAAGCTATTTTTAACATCAAGTTTATTGAGGTCTAATTAACCTACGGTAAAGCTTACTTTAAGTGTATGGTTCGAATTTTGGCAAATGTTCAGTCGTAACCAATGCCACAGTCGATTAATAGAACATTTCCATCATTTCAAAACAAGAAATATCCCTTCCTCCCCGTTCCAGCCCTTCCCAACTGCTAATCTGATGTCTATCGATTCTAGTTCTGCCTTTTCCAGAATGTCATAGACATGGGATCATGAAGTTTATATTCTTTTGAGTCTGGCTTCTTAGACTTAGCATAGTGCTTTTGAGATTACTCCAGTTTATGTGTTGTAAGTAGCTAATTACCCGTTTGTTGCTGAGTAGTATTTCATTGTATAGATGTACCTCAGTTTGTTTCTTCATCCACCCCTTGATGGATATTTGGGTTGTTTCTGGTTTTTGACTATTGAGAGTGTTCACATGGATCCTTTTTATAGACAGACATTTTCATTTATTTTGGATAAATGTCTAGAGGTGGTTTTCTGGGATGTATGGTTGGCATATGTTTATCTTTGTAAGAAACTATGATTTTGCACTTCCACCAGCAACACGTTAAGTTTTCTTTGTTCCATGTCTTCACCAGCATCTGTCATTTTAGCCAGTAGAAGTGTAGTGTAGTATCTCATTATAATTTTGTATTTGTATTTCCCTAATGACTAATGATGTCGAACATCTTTAACTGTGCTTGTCATCTCTGTGTCTTCCTTGTTGAGGTGCCCATTTGAATTTCTTGTCCACGTTACTGTCTTACTATTAGTGACATGAAAGAATCTGTATATATTTGGATACAAGTTCTATATTGGATATGTCTCTTACAAATATGTTTTCCCAGTCTGTAGCTTGTCTTTATTTTCTTAGCAATATCCTTTCAAGAGCAGATTTTCCCTGGGATGAAGTCTAATTTACCTATTTTTTTTCTTTATTAATTCATACGCTTTTTGTGTCCTGGCTAAGAAATCTTTGCCTAACTCAAGGGCACAGAGATCTTCTGTTTTCTTCTAGAAGTGTTACATGTTTTCTTCTAGAAGTTTTATATGTTTTCTTCTAGAGGTTTTATAGTTTTAGCTATCACTTAAGTTTTAAATCCACTCTAATTTTCATGTGTTGTATAAGGTGAGGGTTTTTTGTTTTTAATGGAAATCATTGAATACCATTTGTAAGATGATTCATTTCTCATTGAATTACATTGGTATCTGTTGAAGTTATTTGACTGTATATGTATAGTTCTATTTTGAAATTTATTCCATTGATCTATATGTCTATTCTTACGCCAAAATCATACCATCTTGATTACTATAAGAAAGTGTTGTTTTTGGTTTTTTTTGTTTGTTTGTTTTTCTTTACTGTGAGTCTTTATCATAGTTTATGTGTAAAGTTCTTTTTGTGGGGAGAGGAGGCCAATGGAAACAAAAAGTTGACCAACCAAATCTGTGTGGGACTTTCAGTTCTACCCAGACTTGTACTACCATTTGGGTACAAGAAAGCAAGTGAGTAAAAATAGGGCATCAAGAGATATGACAAGGAAACCCACTTCCTTGGGGAGCTCATGCCTTCAGCCCAGCCTTTTGTAAACTAGTTTACTACAGTTCATGATTTAAAGTTGTGACCCTGAGTCACTGAAAGGTCATCAAGAAATAACTCTCTTTGTGTACACCATACTTTGCGTAGCAGTAAGAAAATAAAGTAAGGTGAATTAAAATAAGGTACAAAATTTAAT